CACACCCCCCACCCCACAGCCCCCACTTCTCTGTTACTTTCCTCCGAGATGCGCCTCAGAGAAAAGAAAGGACTTGACAAGTTCAAAGGTAAAAAAGAACAGTGGCGGAAGATGCATGTAGACACATCACTTAAATCAAAGAATTACAAAGCTTGATTAAAAGTTTCATACTTGATTAAAAGTAAATGTGCATCCAGCAGTTTACATGAGGAGGCAAACATTTATTTTGAGGATGCACAAACTGATACAAAGACACGTAGGCAGCGCTCTTCATGTAAATGGTTGAAGGGAAACTCAGTTGGGCTTCTTTTCTGTGCTTCTGGGTAGGTCATGCTCTTAAACTCTGCGCTATTTTTTTAAACCTGAAAAAACTAAATAAATAAATAAAATAAAAATCAGTCTGCAGCAGCCCTACAACTTTGAGTCAAAACTTAAAAGCCTCAAGGATGAAAAACCCATGGCAGAATGAGGCTCACAATTAACAGATTCAAATTAAATATCTTGGATTCCTTGAAGGAACACGTTTCACCAGAGTTATAAGAGAAATGGCGGAGAAACAGCTGTTTTACACAATATCACAAAACGACCTGCTCAGAGTATGGGTTGTGAATGACTCTCATCTACTACCACCAATTTTAGTTCAGTATACTGATTGACTTAAAGTTATTTTTCTTTTGGAATTATCTTTTCTAGACATTTTGAATTTGATTGACTCCACTTGTTCACGTACATCCAATCWTTTTTTTTTGAGAATTTAAAAAACGTGTCCATTGGTTCACAAGATATTTTGGAGACATGCATATTCATAGGCACACATGTAAATCTTTGCAATTAATGATGGGCGATGAGAATAACATTTAAGTTAGACAAATTCTGAAAAACCTTTAATTGTATCTCTTCAACATTTGTTAGAACAAACAGAAAACTCGAAATGCAGCCTGAATGTGCTTCTGTATGCATATACGCATTCTTCAGTATGTTTTCAGTAGTTAAAATGCAAAGTGGCAGAAAATGCAATTACTCATGCAAACCATTATTTGGGCCCATAATTCATGGTTTGTCTTTATCCTGTGAAGAGTTGCTTGTAGCCTACATAAGTGCCTCCTTGTATTTTTATGGATACAGTACGCATGAAAGGTGCAGAAAAAGTTATGTAACAAAATTATTTGATCACTATTTTAACAAAACTACAGAACATGCTTTATTCTTCTTCCTGTAGCACACAGCCATTCACTCCACTTCTTTGTTGTCAAGATGCGACATGTTTCGTCAAAAACTGCCGTTGCATCTTCTTGTGTTCCAGTTGTTGGAATTTGGTTTAACCTATGATCCCTATGTGTTGAGTGCAGTAGTGTGTGTGTGTGTGTGTGTGTGTGTGTGTGTGTGTGTGTGTGTGTGTGTGTGTGTGTGTGTGCTGTGGAGNGTGTGTGTGTGTGTGTGTGTGTGTGTGTGTGTGGCGAGGCGGCGCGTGCTTCCCTGCAAAGATTCATGCTGCTCCAGGACATGCATTTTTTTAGTGCATCTTGTTAGTTCATTCCTGTCACCTCTCTCCCTCTCCCTCGCTCTCTTTCTCTCTCTCTCTCTCTCCACTGCCATCCCTCGCTTTTTCAGCACTGAAGGGGGGATGGAGAAGGAGAGGGGAGGTGAGGGGGGCGGTGGAGGCAGTCACCATGGTTACAATGCCATGACAAATATTCATCAAGTTGTTAGAATAAAAACAAAGTGGAGTGCATTATAATTGCTCTTACTGACTGGGATCCAATATTGTGTTCATATATTATGAGTGAGGGGGGCCGAGTGGGAGGGTCTGCACGCACAAAAATAAACTTTAAAAAAGAGAGGAAGATGGGAATGTCTGCTGACCTGCAGGTGAACACAGGAAGCACTCGCTCTAACACACATTTCAACTTGTTTCCTGTAACTTCACCTTCCCCCGTTACCTGCTTATAGACTCTGCTGTGAGGACTTTCGTGAGCCTCTCCTTTCTTTTCTCTTTGTCCCTCCATCTCTCGCTCTTCCTGTACTGTTGTGTAGCCCAAGGCGATGCTGTGATGTGTCCTCCCTCTGTCCCTCCCTCCCTCTCCCTCTCTCTGTCCCTGTCACCTTCAATTGCTCTGTGAAACTAGACACACTGCCTGGGGCGGGCAGGGATGGAGGGAGGTGGGTGGGAGGCGGGCAGAAAGGGAGAGATGCACGGAGGGAGGAGAAGAAAGAAAAGGGGAGACAGACAGCTTTATAGACGGATAGAAAGAAATACGTATTTGTTGACATGTAAAACATATAGGATTACCTCAGCACAGACGTGTGTCACTCTGACGTCGATTGTGGCTGTTTCATCTTGAACGAACAAAGAAACCTTGAAATAATTCATCACCTAAAGAACACTTAACCTGCTGTCTCTGAGTGTTTGTTTTCTATTAAATTGTGGCTGAGTGTATCAGCTGTTTTTCAGGTTTCCATGTTTTCTCTTGTATTGATCCTCAGATCTAAACGGAGTTTACTCAAGGCCTCTTATAGCACACCCAAAAAAAAAATAAAAAATAAAAAAATTCTTGGACATTTTGTCTTCTGAGCAAGACCAGTTTCCACAGCACTGACACATCTTTTTTTATTGTTAAAAATCTTGAAATCTTTGAAAATACTGAGAATTTGCTTCTAATCCAGACGATTATTTTTCACTTGTCAAACAGACGAGAAGCTCTAAAACCTCGTACAATGCCTTTTTTTTCCTGGCAACATCAGTGATGTCATTTAGTTTTTTCTCCCAAACTGGTGTTCTTTTTAAATTTTACATCTTTTTGCTTTTATTATGGTAAATGACTCCTGATAACCATATATATACAGTGCATTTATATTGCTTCATTCAACAGACTTTTTAAATTTCAGACAGTTTCTGTGATTTTTTTTAATTAAATGGTAACAGAGGAGACTTAAAATTTGTTTCTGGAACTAGAGTGCTTGAAGTACAGATGCTTTGTGGCTTCGGCCTTTTTTCTATCAACTCTTGATGCCTGCAGACTGTTCCATAAAGGCAGGAGTAATGTGGCTCTTGGTCCCTCTGCTGTGGCCCATTGTAGCTTTTACCTGAATAAACATGGAAATGAATATATTTATATATTCTCAAATCAACCCTCATGTCTTTATCCATTTCCTTGTTTTTATTTAAAACAACAATTAAATTGCTGACTTATTTTTATGATAAACTGCAACAAAATTGATGTCTATGATGACCCCATCTTTTCATTGACATTTTTCACATCTAAATAATAAAGAAATAAATGTGAAACTTTGCATTGTGAATGCTGAGTAGGCTAACTTAAAAAATTTATTAATTGAGCAAAAACTGAGTTGTTAAAACTGAACCAAACAAAAGACTAGCTAAAAGTATTAATGGGCAAAAGGTAAACTAAAAGCTACAAGTTGCAAAATGCAGCTTAAAGCAAAAAGTAGCAAAATTCAGGCTGGTAAAGTAGCAAAGGCATTGCTAAAAGCTAAACTATCAAAAGTTAAAGTGCATTATCTTTTAATATGTAAAGTAGCTCTAAAAGTAGCAAATGAAGACAAATAAAAACACATATGCAAAAAGAAAAATACATTTTTAAAATTTAAGATATTTCATAGTATTTAYATGGGGAAATGTTTGTAAATAAATATCAATATTTTGAAAAGTATGAAAGTTGCAAAAAGAGATAAACATTTTTTACTTAAAAAAGGTAAAAAGGGTAAAATACCACAAATATGAGGAACAAAAGGGAAAGGGGAACTTTTTGTTTTGCATTTGACATTCTGTGCATTATCCTGTAAAAAGGTCTTTTATTCTTTTATTTTGAAAAAAAAAAACGCTCTGAGTTGAACGTAATTTGTCCGTGATAAAAAACTCTCTCATGTCATTGGCTCAGGTACACAAAGGGGGCGGGACAAAACTTTTAATTGGGCGTAGAAAAACTCAGGTAGCCTGTTTGCTCCGAATACCTGGAATTCATCAGATACCGCGAGTAAGTCGGAAGCTTAGAGGCTTATGCTGGCGGTAAAATGCGATGAATAGAGATATAAAAACGATGTAACGTTATACTTTTAACCCAGAGATTTTTTTTTTCCTACGAGGTAAAGAAAGCAGTGATCCGAATAAATAAGTCGGGTAACATTTTACAATCGCTTCAGGAACMGTTTGGACTTATTTTTGTATTATTATTTTTAATTTTTTAAGCGTGAAATGCCACAACAAATGTCGACGAAGTTGTTTCAGTTGGTTGTTTTGTTCGCAACAGGTGAGTATCGACCCAGGTCTTCTCCTATCGCCATACCTGTCTCTGTCCTAAAAAACACCGTGTACTCTGCACACATTCAGCCAGAATGCGCTTTACTGTGCCTTATTGTGTTTGAATAATGGGTGTTTCGTGTTTTTATTTAGGTTTTGGGGGTTTTGAGGCCCAGGAATGTGGCGTCTCGCCGGTAAAAGAGGACAGAATTGTGGGAGGGACGGACGCCTCGGATGGGTCTTGGCCCTGGCAGGTGGATATCCAGGTAAGTCCTYCGCAAACAAATGTTTAATTTCCCGGGTGCACATTTTAATGAAGTTGTGCCTGTGGGTAGCTAAACGTGTGGTTCATCGTCTGGGTTTTGTTTACCAAGATGACCTGCTGAGAGGGAGTTTTGCTTGTGAGGCAGAAGTGACTCATTGCGTTATTTTTTTTTTCTCCTTTCTGCCTCCAGAAGTCTAACGTTCATGTCTGTGGAGGCTCCCTCATCACAGAGGACTGGGTCCTGTCAGCCGCTCATTGTTTCCCCAAGTAAGAAATCACCCCACAGACCAACAACTGCCTGTTAACTGACTGTGTTTGCTTGTTGTTGGGTTGTTTTATCAGATTGTTTGACAAAAGGCTCATGAATGTGGACCTTCCACTATCATGCATGTTTTGTTTTCCTGCTCTTCAGCTGGTCTTCAGGTTCTGCAGAAGCTTGTTAATCACACATTTAGGGCTGCAACTAACAATTCGTTTTAATAATCGATTAATCTGTTGATTATTTTTTCGTTTAATCGATTAATCGGCCAAATCATTAAAACGCTTAATTAAATGAATATGAGTAGATATAAATTAAGTTAACTCCTTAATGATGCAAGTTATTGATAATGAATTAATCTGAAGTTGATTTATCTTATAGATTGATTAACAATTAATTAATAAGCAGACTTTTTTTTTAAAAAACGTAGTTTTCTCTTGAATCGAGGGTCTTCCC